TTTTTGTTGCTTTTGGCTAGAGGTGTTGGCAGTTTCAATTGAAATATGGCTTTAATTAGTTTATAGAGAAGAGCGAGCAATGCAATAAAATTAATCGCTTATGCCGTAACCGTATTTAAGCCACAACCCCCTCCCGCTCCCACTCTTTCTCCTTGCCTCACTCTCTCTAGCTCTGCTGCCTCTTTGTGAGTGGTCTCAATTCCCAGAGAATCAATCATGTATAGCGAAGCGTACCTGATGCCATTAAAGCTGACTTAACCAGATTGTCAGCTACTCAAGCGGAAAGCCACTGCTTTGCTATTTTAGCGATATATATATATAATGCTGATGTTTATGTATAAAGATAAACTCAATTGCATTAAAGCTGCTTGTTTCATTTCCTTTTCTAGTTACTATTTGCAGAAATTACAGTTTCTCAAACAATTTGTTAAACTTTAAGGATATCAAGGACTTAAAAACAGAAATTTAATCGAAATTATTGTAGAAAATATTTGATAATTTATCTAAACCTTTATATTTATATAGACAAAGCTTAAATATCATCTTTACGCCCATTTTAATTATATTATCACACTTGCTGCTCAGAATATGCAAATCATTCAATAACAATTTTGAGCTGAAAGTGAAATTTTTCATTATCAATTCACAGCACAAGGCGTTTGAGTAGCGCGCAAGAGAGAGAGTGAGATAGCGGCAGGGCAGCACCACACGGACTACTAATACGCATAAACATACAGCAAATGATCTGCATAGGTATTCGCATAAAAAGCTTAGTCAACTTGGTACGACTCGGCTCCGTTTGGGCTCAGCTTAAGCTCAGCTGCGGGTGCTGCTGCGGCTTAGGCAGAGTGTGATAGAAAGAGAGAAGAGCGTATAAATAGCTCTAGACTACCAACCAACACATATGCGAAAGCATTGAACGAATTGCAGAGCTCTTGTTATAATAACTCAGCTTGATCCGAAACGGCTCGGCTTTACCGCTGCCTTTGCCTCGGGCTCTGCCAATGCCCTATGCCCTGTGCGCTCTCATACACAAATTGAGAGAGTAGAGAATGCACTAATACAAATACAATACAATTACAGCAACTGGATCGCAAAGCTATTGGCTAAACAGGAGCTCGGCTTCAGCTTATTCGGCAAGGCTTGACTCGGTTCATTTAGGCTCGGCTCGTTTGACTCTGGTTCGGCTGTGACTTTGTCTCTGCTTTGATTCTGCCTCTGCCCTCTGCCATGCTCTCTCTGACCGGCAGCTTACACACATAAAAGAGTGTACAAACACAAATAGAATTACATCAACTGGATCACAAAGCTGTGAACTCAGCTTGACTGGGTTCGGCTAGGCTCGACTCGGCTCGTGTAGACTCGACTCGCCTCGGCTATGACTCTGACTTTGATTCTGATTTGGGCTCTGCTTCTGCCTATTGTCTCTGCTGCTGCTGCTGCTGCTGGGCTAGACACCTGCTTGAATATTAACGAGATCTGACTCGACCCATGTCTGCCTATGTGGTCGATTAGCGGGCATAGCACCCAGTGGAAGAAGAAACAGCATAAAGAGCAGCAGACACCATAGCTACCGCTTGGCATTCGCTCCCACCGGTTAGTGGGATGGGTCGCTGTCGCAGCCGCAGCCGCAGCAGCAGAAGCAGCCGCAGTCGCCGTTTTTCAAATGCTAAAATTGGCGATTAGTCAAAATGATGTCACCGAGTTATTTTGATTGTTTTTTTTTTTTTTTTTTTT